CATTTGCTCATTGTCTTATTTTTCTTCTTATTATCTAGTCACACATACTACCGTCAAATTGCCTAATAACCGAGAAGTTAAAGTCACTCACAAAGGCATTATCATTTTTTCGATTTGCTTATCTTAATAGATGTTTTATTTATTCCTACATTTTCTTTTAATTTGATATTGACAAGCGGATTAACGAAATTAATAAATTATTGTTTTTCATTTTCTTCTTCTTGTATTATTCGGGACCTACACTCTAAGAAAATGATTGGTTTAAGCTGAGGAAAGACATGGCCTATACTTGATAAAACAATCTTCTCCTTTATTTATTCATTCTGTTACTACACCTAGCATTTATTCCACTATTTCTCATAATTCTAATGTTTTATGGCATTACGGATTATGACACTTATCCAATTCCGGATTATAGCTTTTACATATTTCTCATTCATCAATTCCTTGTCTTGTAACTTTTTCATATTGTGTAATTTGTCATTATGCAAAATAAAGGAGATTGCCCTTTCCCGATAGTCGGTCTTTTTCAACTCATTGCTTTCATCCGGTTCATATGGATATTTGGAGTCCTATGTCTATTCCATCCATTTGTGGTCATTTATACTTCCTCACCATTGTGGATAATTTTAGTAGAGTCACCCGGGTTTATATGATGAAGAATAAATCCGAAACTAGAGGTTTTATAAAGGAGTTTTGTATTTTTGAGGAAACTCAATTTAACACTAAAATTCAAACCATTAGAACCGATAATGGATAAGAATCTAACATGCCTTCCTTATTTTCCTCTATAGGCATTATCAATCAAACCTTTTGCACAAAAATACCTCAAGCAAAAAGTACTCGTCAAAAGGAAACATCAAGCATATTCTTAATGTAGTAAGAGCACTAAGGTTTCAAGCCTGTTTGCCACTTCATTTTTTGGCGTACTTTATAATGCATGTAGTTAATCATATAAATAAAATTCCCTTAACTCTCATTAACAATCAAACACCTTTTGAAGTTCTTTTTCATAAATTGCTATCTTATGAAAATCTAAAAGTTTTTGGTTGTTTGTGTTACTCTACTATAATTGGCCATAAAACCAAGTTTGCACCTAGAGTTGATCAATGCATTTTTCTTGGTTATAAATCTAGCACTAAGGATTATCGGTTATATAATCTCAAAACCAACCAATTCTTCATTTCCAAAGATGTTGCCTTCTATGAAGATATATTTCCTTTTACTCCAAACTCGCATTCCCTTCTTTGTCTAATAAACATGATATTGTCCTTCCCATTCCCAACCCCTCCTACTTGGGATGATGACCTTCGCTTGTCACTCGCTCCTCGCTACAACCACATCTATTAGTCCTTCATCCATTCTTTTCATTGATTCTAATTTTTCTTCATTCGGACGAACAAAAAGAAAAATCATTCTTCTAACGTATCTTCGAGATTATCACTACTCTCTTAGCTCAAGCTTGTCTCCCCAAGGCTATACTATGCTACACTATGTCATCTTCTCGGCATGGTCCTATTTATTCTATACCGGGTACATCACATTCCATTTCTGCCGTCCTTTCTTATTATCATTGTTCTCCGTCTCATTAAACTTTTTCTTTAAGCATTACTACCACTACCGAACCCAAAACATACACTCGATGCTATTAAACATTCATGTTAGAGAAATGCCATATCCGTCGAAATTAAGGCTTTGCAAGATACTCAAACTTGGGAATTGGTTGCTCCGCCTCCTCATAAACATCCCATTGGTTGTAAATGGGTCTTTAAACTTAAGCATAGTAGCGGATGAATACGTTGAGTCGTGTAAAGCAAGGATTGTTGCTAAAGGTTACACACAACAAGAAGGGGTCGATTATATGGACACTTTTTCTCCCGTGGCCAAAATGACCACTATCATGACCTTATTAGCTATTGTTGTTGGTAGAAATTAGCATTTGTAATAGTTGGATATCAATAATGTCTTTTTACATAGTGATCTCGATGAAAAAGTTTACATGAAACTACCTTCCGGCATTATTGATGCTCCTCCCGACATAGTTTGCAAGCTACTCAAATCCCTTTATGGATTAAAACAAGCTAACAGTGCAATGGTATTCTAAACTTTTTCTGCTCTTTTCACTCTAGGTTTCCACTAGGCGACTTTTGATCCCTCTTTGTTTACCAAAAATGTTGATGACGGATTCATTAGCTTGTTAATCTATGTTAACGATATGATCTTAGGTAGCAATGACATTGATAAAATTGCCTCTATAAAACAATTCCTTCATCATGCATTTCAAATTAAAGACTTGGGGGATTCGAAATTTTTCTTGAGGCTCGAGGTTGCTTGGTCTAAATCGTGTATTAATCGAATTAAAGAAAGTATGCCTTAAATCTTCTTCAAGATTATGGCTTTTTTAGCAAGTAAATCGGTTCACTCTCCCATGGCAAACTCAATTTCTCTCTATTCCTCCACAAGTCCTCATTTACCATATTACACTTCTTATAGATAGTTAATTGGGAGATTGTTGTATTTAACTACTATATTATTGTATTTAACTACTACTTGTCCTAATATTTCCTTTGCCATATAACATCTGTCATAATTCCTTGACAAGCCTACTACAAGACATCTTCAAGCGACTCACCGTGTGTTAAGATACATTAAGGGCTCTTTTAGCCAAGTGGTTGTTCTTGGTCGCGATTCATCATTTAAACTTAAAGCTTTTTTTGATTCCGATTGGCTATAACACAAGGAAATCTATAACGAGTTTTTGTGTTTTTCGTGGCCCTTCTCTCGATTTCATGAAAATCCAAGAAACAACAAATAGTGTCCCATTCTTTTTCGCAGGCCGAATATCATGCACTAGCCGCACTTACTTGCGAAATCCAAGTGGCTTATCTTCTTGCTAAAAGATTTCTAGATTGTTCCTCAAGGATCGACTATTCTATTTTGTGATAATCAATCTGCTTTGCATATTGCTCATAATCCTATTTTCCATAAGCCATGAGCATACAAAGCAAATTGAATTAGATTGCCACATTGTTCGTAAGAAACTATAAGCTAGTTTGATTCATCTTCTTTTAGTTTCTTCCACCCATCGGCTAGCGATTGTTTCACGAAAGCTCTCCCTCCCACTCGCTTTCAAGGCTAACATTCTCAAGCCGAGCATTCTTGACATTTATGCTCCAGCTTGAGGGGGCTATCACACCGATTATTTAAGCTTAATCATGCCCGACGTACTCTTTTTTGTTCTTCACAATTTGTTAGCTTTGTTATTCCGTTAGTTTTGTTAGCTTGTTAGTTATATTCCTTTTATGTCCAAGTCCGTTATAACTCTCATAACAGTCTTAGCAAGTTTTAGCCTTTTTTTATTTTTGCCCTCAATTGTATGCATATAAAGAAATGTAAGAGAGAGAATAAATTTGAATTTTTTTCTCCCCGAAAAAGTTTCGTTAATAAGAGATACATATTTTGAGACATCTAAATAAAAAAAAATTTACTATAGTCGGCAAGTGCGGTCTCGACTCACGAGGCCAACTTGCCTCACCTTTTTTCTCTCTCGTTTTATGTTATTTATTTATTTTTTATTTGCAAATTCGTATTTTTTTTTCATTTATGTTATTGTTCAAATATTTATTTTTTGCAAAATGTTTGAAGTTTGTTTTCTTTTGTGTTAAAAATTTTAAATGAATTAAATATGATATAGTTTTGCATTTTGTTTGAAGCATATTCATGTTGTGATATTAAATGTTAAAAATATATATGTGAATTTATTTTTTTAAAAGGAATATAGTGGTAAATTTTGGTACTCGATATTTTATTTTTTGATAAAAGATATATATTTTGGCACATCTAAATAAGAAAAAAATTTACTGAAGCCTGCAAGTGCAGTCCCAGCTCGCGAGGCCAACTTGCCTCACCTTTTTTCTGTCTTTTTTACTTTATATATTTATTTTTTATTTACAAATTTGATTTTTTTTTATATTTATGTTATTATTCAAATATTTGTTTTTTGCAAAATGTTTGGAGTTTTTTTTTCGTTTGAGTTAAAAAATTTAAATGAATTGAATATGATATACTATCGCTTTTTGTTTGAAGCACATTCATGTAGCGATATTAAATGTTCATTTATGTATTTATTCATAACAACATTAATATTTGAAAAAATAAAAAATCTCCCCAGTGCACCAAAGGATAGAAGTCTTTGGCATAAAAATTTGAAATAAGTTTTTTTATATAACAGTGTTTAATTATCTTTAACTTATTTGTTTATTTTGATCTCATACATCTTTAATATTATATAAAATTATTTCAAACGTATCAGATTTATTATAATGTATAAAATATAACCGATTCTTTCTCGATTTTCTCATTCCATCTCTTATTTTAAAAATTTACCTAACTTTTTCCATCAATATTTTAATATTTATATTTTTTAACCATGAAAACTCATTAAGTAATATTTAGACTTTGCTGCCGAATCTATAAATTTATTAAAAAAATTAAAGTCTCAATTCATTCAACCATACCATCAATTAAATAATAGTTTTAATGAAATATATTATTAAATTTATTTTATATTACACTTGAACTAAAATAAAAAAACTGTTAAAGACACACGCATATATATATATATATATATATACACTTCCATGATTTATAAGTACAACTAACTTTTTTTCATCAGACTACTATTTTGTTATTTAATTCTTATCAATATGATGTATTTTTTTGGATTTTTTTTCATGATTGAAATCAATATCTTTTCAAATTAGATTTAATTTAATTTTTTTATAATTTATTTTAAAATAGCAACGTGGGGTCATGTATGCTGGTGCATCCTTGCATTGATATTTTTGTTTCCCTCACGTCAAAGCCAAAATAAGCTTCCCTAAGCGTTTATTTTTCATCATTTAAGAGATGTGCCTAATTTTAATTAGGAAGCTGTAACTTCAAAGCATCCCTATTTATTCTATCCGACTGCAAACCGCCCAAAATGTTCCAACTAATTTCTACTTGTACCCCTCCCCGCCAGAACCCTTCTCTACTTTCGATGGTGGATATCTTAAAGATCCGAAAAATTTGAGCAATAAAAGTGTTCTGATTATTGGGGGAAAAAAAAAACAAAAAACAAAATTAAAGAAGAGAGAAAACGAAAGGTCAACATACCAACCAGTCAAAGGCAAAATCACCAGCACATGGTCACCAAAATAGTAACAAAAGAAATTCATCACAAAATTGGGAAAACATGCTGGATTTCCAAAAACAGATCAAGAAACTTTAAAAAAAGCTTGGCAAAATCCAATTACCTGAACAATGAAACTTGAACAAGATTTGCTGGCCACCACATAGCAGCAGGTTCCACCAAATACCTTCTAAATATCCCAGCCCATCCAAACCCCAACACCTACCATTCAAACAAACAACAACCTCAAAAAAACATAGCAGTTTGAACCACTATATTGATGATAAAAAACAAGAACTAATCACCCACCTGAGTTGTGAGTATAACAATGAATGACACGAAGAATGTGATATTTTTCTTATAAAAAGCCTTAACAACTGTAACAATATGAATGGCATAAACGCTGCCAGCTCCAGAATTGGCAAAGATAGTGATAAGAACATGCTCCTTGACATTGAAAGGTCCTGGATTCAAGGTGAATTCCCATCGAGTTCCTTTAAAGAAGACACGGTCAGTGATTCTTGCAGCCATTAACTGACCAAGAGGCACCACAGCAATCTGAGCAGATATAGCAGTTATGGATAAAGGCTCCGTCCTGTACCAAAAGAACTGGTTGAGAAATGATAGCAGGACACATGAAAGAGTGCCCAACACCCACATTCTGAAAGTTAGGACTGGTAGAGAAGGGTCATCCGTTGTAGGTACTGTTAAAGCAACTTGTTTGACAGGTGAGTTTTCTTCTTCTTGTGCTTGGTTAATCTCTGAAGTTTGAGACTTTGATGGCAAGGATGATGATGATGGGAGGTTGTTATTAGTATCTTCATCTTTCCCATCCTTGCTTACTGTAATAGAATAACAACAGAAAAGATCAAGAAACAGGTCAAACAATATAGAGAAAACTGAAAAGAAAGTGTCTTTTGTACAGAATTGAGGATTCGAGAGAAGAATAGCCATCTTTCGGGGCACAGGGATTGAAACACGGCTTTCGGAATAGGCTTTTTGGTACTAGCTGAAAGACTTACTTAGAGGAGTTGTAATGTCATGATGTGTGGTTTCTTCCATGATTAATTTGTGCCCTCTTCTCTTCTGTCGTGTTACACAGACAGGATTGCTTCTGTTATGACAACTTTGTTAGGACAACATGCTAATGTTGTGGTCAAATGTAATAGAAAGTATATGAGAGGAGAGAATCTAGGATCATGGGGTAGTTAATTGCAATGAGATGCTATTTACCAAAGATAATTAGGTGAGTTGTTTGCAGCTGCTACCCTTCTACTCCATTTATTCACCCATGCATGATAGGTAGTCAATTAATGGACCAATAAATACCGATTCATCCACCTTTTTTCTTTGCCTTTTTTCAGTTACGGAATGTGCCCATCTTCTTTTCTTAACCTCTTTCATCTTCAGAAATTCCTAGACTGTCCGTTTGCACAGGAAATTGTAACAAGAATAGTTCAAAGCAATGGATTATTACACAAATTAGTGGTCTAGACAAGAATCTTATAAATTTCTTGCACGTAATTTGAGCTTCATCAAATAGAAAGGTCAAGCAGAACTCTCCCAATCAACTAACTTGACAGTTGTACCAGCAAGTCTAAACGTGCATCTTGGACCGGATACCTTGTTGGAATCTGAAAACGAGCATCAGCAGTCACAGATTCCAAGAATTCTTTTGATGTGGCATAACTTAGAACCACGTTGCACGCAAATCAACCGTTACTTCTCGGGGAAAAAAATATTGCAGTTCCTTCTCATATATAATTGAATGGACTACGGGTAATAGCAAGTTTGTTGGCAACTCAAACTTGGATTTTGACATCTTATTTATTCCTACTGCATGCTTAATTTGTTTCTTGTGCAAATTGGCCTTCAATTAGAATCATGACATGACATATTAGAAAAAATAACTGATCAAATTAATTATCTTTCTCATACAAGTTATAATTAATCAATTTTTCCACCCCGACTAAATAAAGATAGTCTTTGTTGATAATAAAAAATTTCTTAAAACATTTTACTCTTTAAGGTGGTTTGAGCTTGTTACTTGGAGTGATGATTAACTCTTTGAACAGAAAGGCATGGAATAAGAATCATATCGAATCATATCATAGCATGATACTAGTGGATCAAAAGTTGAAACAAATTTAATTAAGATAATGTAGTTATGAAGAACGTGCAAGTTTTAATTATAAATCAAGTTATATTACTTGCAAATTAATTAATTATATGCTGCAGGGTTGAATTTATTATTGAAATGCAATATTTAAATAGATCATGTGATTCATTCACTCAAAAAAATTATGATAATAATGTTGCTTCATAATGAAATTGAAACATAGCAATAATAATATGCATGGTGACAGTCTGTATAGGACCCTACTTGCTTTCTGTGACCACGACAGGTTACAAGCGGCAATGGATGACGTCCCGTTATTAGTGCAAAAGCAAAGAAGATTTAGCAATTAACGAATAGGATATTTGGGGACACGTCCTAAATATTTATTGAGGTTTTGCGTTCTAGTCTGAAGACTCGTTCGATGTTTGTTTTGTTTCGTTTTTTTGTCCTAATTTTGGTTTCTGTCACATCCTTTGAAAGCCATGATGTGTCCACCCATCTCTAAAGAATCAGGGCAACCATACCCAGATCATGCTTTTTAATGCAACGATTTTTGGTGGAAGCAGGTCGAATGACCGGCTTCATTCAAAGCCTTCTCGGTTGCTACACTAGGCCCAGCCCAACGCAATTGCCCGTGAAAGTTTCATCTTTGTTTTAGACCCCAGCAAAGAATAAACCAGTAAGATCGCAAGTCGAACAAAATTCCAGCAATGATTAGACATTAAATAATGGGGAGGAGGGCCAAGAAGGAGAAGAGATGATAGATAAGCTCGAACTTGGAAGGGTCTTCTATTCCTACCACTATCTGGACAAACATAACATATACCATTCCATATGCACGTGGCAGCTCAAAGATCCAACAATCTATTCATCTCGCAAGTAAGAAAGAAAGAAAGGAAAGAGAAGAAAGTTGGGCAAGTATTCGTCCGGGTGTTATTCCTTCAAATTCATGCATCGTGATATTGCAATCGTAAGACTTAAAAAAGGAAAGTAAGAGAGAAGTAAATTTAGGCATGTATAAACTACCACAAATTTTGAGACTTCAACATGATAGGCCATTGTTTTTGGAGTAGAGTCTCGAATCATAAATTTAGTGTACTTTTCAAATTATTATTTTGAATCTGTTTTTTTTTAAAAAAATATATATATATCATAATTTTTTTTTTTATATATAAATACATTAATTTGAATGCAACGAATGAAAGAAATAAATGTTAGTTTAACTATAAATTTACTACAGCTAATGGATGTAGAGATCCTGACATATATCAAATCCGTCTTTTTTTAAAAAAAAAAATTCTTTTTCTTATGTTCGATTTCTATTTTAATTTCATTATTCTATTAACTTTTTAGGTTAATGATGTTATATCAACCCTAAGCCCCACAAGATTGCAACACATATCAATTTTTTTTTTTTTTTTTTTTTTAACTTTGTCTCTCTACTCTTTTTTTACTAAATTTAAATAAATAAATTTTAAAAAATAAAATAAAATAAAATAAATGTTAAGATATATTCGATCATCCTCTCTAGTAATGTTTTTTTTAAAAAAAAACTTAAAAATAAAAAAAAAGTGAAGATAAAAAAAAATTTTATGCAAATTTTTTTTATATTTTGTTACAAAATTTTGTTAATTTGACTCAAAAGTGAGAATATAATTTTTGTGTCATTTTCACTAGAGCCCCTTATTGAGATGCAAAAAAAAAAAAAAAAAAACCCCACAATTTGCAATAAATTTTATATTTCTGAAAATTCTTAACAAAATTTATATTTTAACTTCGAATCAAATTAAACAAAATTTAAAATCAAAATAAGTAAATTATAATAAACTCTTTTGTCGTATTATATAATTATAAATACCATTCAAAAATTTAAAATTTTAACTAAGACTCTCTTAATTTTTTTAAAAAAAGTACTACAAATACTTTATTTTGTACTTAAAATTTGCTTACAAATAGAGATAATTTTACACCATATTTGGATAAAAAATTATTTTTATCTTCAATTTTTATTAGAGGATAATGACCATATATATCTTTATTTTTTTTTAGTTTTTGTTTTCATTTTACAAAATTTATTTATTTAAATTTTGTATAAAAAAATAGATGAATGAGATTATGATGAAAAAATGAAAAATTTACACGTATTGCAATCATGCGAAGCTAATGTGTGATTTAATATCATTAGTTCAAAAAATTTAAAGAATGATAAAATAAAAATAAAAATAAAAATAAAATATAGAAGAATGAATTTAAGATAGAATAGAGTAAATGAGCATGACAAAAAAGAAAAAAAATTAAAAAAAAAATAGTAAATAAATATGATAAAGACGGAAAAAAGAGTAGAAAGCCTCCAGCAATCATTAACTTAAATTTATTAGCACCATATAAATGCTATGCTTAAATCTAAGAAATCAACTCCCATACATAAAAAGTTGATCCCAAAATATTATATTTTCGCTATAAATTGTAATCAGCCATCTTGAACGAAAACTAGCTAGGATAACTTTGATGCACAAAGAACAAGCGATGCTGTAATTAACAAGAAAACATAAATTATGTTGTGATGATAGTAAGGCCAACTCTTGTAGGAGGAGGACAAATGGACCCAAGAACGGTAGGCATGAATCCACCAGCCATTATCAAACCAACCGAAAGCTCACTAGATTTATACGGCAGCTTCAATTTCAGTAATCAATCAATGCTTAATTCTCCGAAAAAGAAAAAAGAAAAAGAAAAAAGAGATGGGTATCTTTGTAATTTTGCACACAATCTAATGCTAAATCCACTTCAACATCTAGAATTGCAACTTACCGGCTTCCTAATCAGAAACTCACAGAACTCTGACACCCTTAACTGAACCCTAAAACTTCTCTCTCTTTTTCTCTGTCATATTTTACACTACCATGTCACACTGGACAGGTTTGTTTGTTTTTTTTTTTAATACATCACATATATGTAATCATTATTTAAGTAAATCTTTAACATTTACTAAGGATCGATGTGGATTCTCGAAGTTCTCTTTGTTTTCTTTGGAGCTGAACTGAAACTGTAACATTATGAGCTAGCTAGTCTAGTTAGATTTCATGGGCTATTCGAGAAAATTAGTTTGAATTACTGGGTTTTACTTCGTTCTTGGTCTTGATTGTTTGTCATTTGCAATTGGGTTGTTCTTGTTTTTTGCCTTCTTGATGCTCGATACAATCTTTAGTGCAAATAAATGCTAACTGGTTCCGTCTTTAACTAAAGATTTGATCTTTGCTCTCTTTTTTATACTCTCTGTTTTGGGCTTGGTGCAGATTTCTTCACAAAAAAAAGATAGCAAATGATGTATTGTTGTATTACACATAGCTTGTTGGTGTAGAAAGTGAGCTTCGTCTCTTCACTTTGATCTTTTTATGTGTTCTTGATTTTGATTTTGTTACAATGGATTAATACTGCTTGTTGGTTTTTATGGATTCCCAGAAAGGATCTTGATTTTGGTGGAACTGGTTAGGTGGTAAGTGTTGTTTCGTGATTGTCAATGGCAGAGGTGGTTGGGCCAAGGTTGTACAGTTGCTGTAATTGCAGAAATCATGTTGCCCTTCATGACGATGTCATTTCTAAGGCTTTTCAGGTCAGCGAAAGATTGATGCTGATTATGTTTTAGTTATGAGTTTAATCAAGAATTCAATAGAGAGCACTCTTGTACGAGAAAGAATGGAAGAATTGGTAAACAAGAGTTAAACTTTTTTTATCAATTCACAGAAGCATTGTTGCAATTACTTGATCAGAGACTATTGCATGATCATTGATTTCATCTTGTATTAATCAGTTTATGTATATTTGTCCTTGTTGTGCTTTGATCGTGACTTAATTTGCTAAAGCATCTAATTGTACACAATTTTACCTTCGCAAACACTTTTTTTCTGTTCTTGCTCCTGATAGATTTTTATACTCTAATTTTAGGGAAGACATGGTCGAGCCTTTCTGTTCTCTCACGCAATGAACGTTGTGGTTGGGCCGAAGGAGGATAGGCAGCTAATGACTGGCCTCCACACGGTTGCTGATGTATATTGCTCTGACTGCCGTGAAGTGATTGGTTGGAAATATGAACGAGCTTATGAGGAAACACAAAAATACAAGGAAGGGAAGTTCATACTTGAGAAGTCAAAAATAGTCAAGGAAAACTGGTAGCAACTGTGCAGCTTTATATTTTCCCCTAATCTTGTTGTGTGTGGATAAAATTGTGTTTGGTACATGTTCATCTTGTGCAGGAAAATCTCATCAATTGCAAATATTTGACTTGCTGTTCGTCAATGCGCATTCTTGTGCTCCCTGTATGGATATTGCATTTGAGATTGTTGGTTTTGTTAATAAATTGTGAATAATTCTCTCTACCATGATTAAATTTGGTATAACAATTGTTTTAGCACTTATGAGTTTCTAAGATGCATCAAACATGTCTAAGAATGCTGATGGTTTGATGCCGCAACAAATTATGTTCTGAGCCGAGCTTAATAAACTCCTTTTAAGCAAAAAGGGAATTAGGGTATTTTGTAATGATCTTCTCGATTGTTTGATTGGCCTTTTGATTACATAGGAGTTGTCTCTACCAGTGGCATGTGTATTGTATGCCATGTATAGTACTTTGTTTTTGTCTAATTAACCTCTTGAACAGAGCCATTTGTCCTGCATTTAGACACGGAAAAGCAATTGTTACACCTTTAAGAAGCTAATTGGCTTAAACAATCAATGATGGGTCTTAAATAATAATTCGGTATTGTTTTCCAACTTCAATGAAGCTTGCTCAATGCATTATCATATCGGATTCAAACCCAAAGAAAATTTATGGGATAATTTTTTTTAATAATGCATTAGTTTGATCTCCAATCTAATCTAATCTAGTAGAAACTTAGTATCAATGCACAAATGCGAGTCCGCATATCCGTCACTGTTAAGACCAGGAAAAAAAAAAAAAAAAAAAAAGGAACACACACACCCGCACACACTTAAATAGCACCTTGTAGGCAAGCAAAGTTTTAAAGATGACTTATGCAGCTATACTGAGTTTATAATGAAATCAATCGGACTTTTTCACGAACAAGATCAATGACGCAAGCCTTGCAGTGTCAATTTCATGCAAGATTTTGTCATATTTACGTGCCTTACACACAGCTGCACCTATCACTTGCAAACACATTTTCAAATGATATCCACAGAGAGCCATCATCATGATGATTGATTGAGAGAGGAAAAAAAAGAAAAGGGCAACAGAATAATCGTATAATTGTCCTGCTGCTTATGATAAGCATTGAAAAGACCGTTACAGTCGCGCTGAACTGATTATTGAATTTGAATGCGTAATATTAATATTATCTTTTTTATTAACCATCATTCTGTCAAGCAGAAGTAGTGGTCCAGCACTCCAGGTTATGGCACAAACATAGAAGAAAGCTGCTGTTCCACGTTTACTAAGCTAATAGGTTTAAACAATATAAATAGCGTAAACTTGAAGCCATCACATTTAGGAACAAAGAAAAGCAGCTTTCTAATATCTTTTACTGGACAACTATCAAGTTCTATTTAGTTACTAAAAGTTCTTTCCCTCAAATTTGTTACCGGAGTTATGGAAACTCTTCCCTAGTTAATGGACATAAGAATCCAGAGCAGAAATTCATGCACCCACATCTGTTGATTCAAGCACGTAAACTGCTAAAATGACCAAGGACAGAATAAAATAAAGCAAAGAAGTGAATGAGCTCATGCCATTAATCAAAGAATTCAAAGATGTGCCCCAATTCTCTATATACAAGAAATCAAACAAATGATCAAAATTAAATTGAATGATCAACAATCAGCCAAAATGAACAAATAGCATCTGCCAAAACAATGAACCAAAACCCGAGTCACAATATGAAAAGCAGCCACTAAAGCAAAAGAAAAAAAAAACAATGTTATCAAATATCACCACATGATAGATATCTTCTTCTCAGTTAACCACCGTTTCTTGGCATTTTCTATGGCTTCCTCCCTCATCTTCATGAGTTCTTGAAAACACTGATTATAGTGTGAATCAATTGAATCAAGCTCCTGCTTTAGTTCAGAACCATCTTTGTCGGCAAGGGGCAGAGAACAAATGCTAGACAAGCTTGCATTTTTTGACATGCCAGAGCATGAATCAATATAGGAGACATCAGAATTTGTTGCAGATTTGTCATTTTTTGGGATACCATCGTCAAGCATCCAACACTCCAAATCCAAATCATACATATGCAATTGAAGACTGCAATCAGAAGATCCCAAAGACTTGTTAGTACTGGAATCAGAGGCAATTGCCATATTATATTCAGTAGATATGGCTGAATTGACTGATTGTTGAGTCTCATGATATGTCATGTTTGTCGATGGTAAGAAATCAGGTGTTTTCATTGCCTCGGAAGTTGCATTGTTTTCCAGTTCAGATGAGTCATTTGATACACTTGACAAATTATTCCAGCTAGGAACAAACTTCACTATCAAGCTATCAATCAACCCAGCAATAACAGCCACATCTTGAGCAGACAGATCAAGTTGTTCAACCATCTCCTCCGCTATTGAAACTGCAGTATCCGAACCAAGATAAAAGGTAAAATGGATATTCCTTGCTCGACCTGTAACATCAACAACATTATTTAGCGCAGTTAAAAAGAAGAAATAAAATAAGATAAAATAATAGACATTAGTTTGTACAGCATAGTTGCTCACCACAAGGATCAGCAATGCGCAAAGTTAATGAAACTGTATTATCATCGTTTTTCTCCCCTCTCAATCTGAATTCATTATTCTCAGTAAACCTACAAAGTTCTAGAGTTGAAAACTGTGGAGATCCATTGATGCTTTTTGGACAAGATACCACCGAAAGCTTCTTGCAGTCAATGTCCATGTGATGTGATTCTGATTGTGGCAAGTGGATTTGCTTGGAAATAAGATTTGGTAACTGTAAAGAACTAGAAACAAGTTCTTTCGAATTTTCAGTTGCAAGGAATGGGTCTTTCAAGAGCTCTACGGCAGGCAATCTCACAGATGCTGGAACTAAACACTTCTCTATGAACTCCTTAACCTGGTTGTCATTCACCTTACCAAGGGAAGCAGGCTTTACACCCTGCAATAGAAGTTATGGTGATGACAATAAAAGCACTTGCAAGTAAATTCAAAGCAACTCACATGTGGCAAATGGTTTTAAACTCACCGAGGTAACCTTCTTGTATATCTGTGCAGGATTTTTGCATTCACTATATGGGTATTCACAAGTAACCATCTCTAACATGCACATGCCAAAAGAATAAATGTCAACAAGTTCATTGTATTCCTCTTCATAGAGCTCTGGAGCCATGAATTCAGGTGTACCTGCAGAAGGAAAAAATGAGTAACAAAGTCCCAATGCATAGCAGTTCGACCAAAGTCATAATGGTTCAGAAATTGAAGCTATTACCTATGACACTTCGCGCAAAGGGCTGCTGCATGACAATTGCTAATCCAAGATCTCCAATCTTAACTTCTCCATTGTTCCCATTAACAAGTATATTGTCACATTTCAAATCACGATGAATGATAGGAGGACTGTGAGTATGTAAGTATTGTAGACCTCGAAGTATCTGCCTTGCCCAGTTTTTGATGGCTTTCATGTCAACAGTCTTGTGCTTCTTTCGATACCTAAATCCCAAAATAGCAACAGATTACACCAACAAACGTGGAAGACAAATGAAATAAAGAACATAAAAATCAGAAATAGAAAATGAAACTCACTGCCTCAGATTCCCTGAAGTGAATAACTCTGTGATCATGTTAATAGTCTTATTCTTATCATCCACCCAAGAGCTATAAAACTTGATGATGTTTTCATGTTTCAAAGACTTCAGCAGATGAACCTCAGAATACAATCTCTCAAGCTGCTGTGATGACTGCAAGACATCTTCAATATTCACCTGGTTCCAAGCCACTTCAATTCCATCAACTTCATCAAATGCCTTATATCTGTCCATAACAACAAAATTCCAACCAAAAAAAATAAAAATTAATACATGTGTTCTTCTATAGAAACTTCAAAACCTAAGAGATCAACAAGGAAACACAAAAGATATAGATTGAAGAACCATACACAGTCTTGAATGCTCCTTTCCCCAGAATTTCATCATACTGGAGCAGTAAAAAAAAAAAAAAACAAATAAATATCTAATACATCAAGCACACAACTCAAATTTCAATAATTCTTAATTCCGCTAGACGCTGATAATTCAAAAAGTACACCTAAATTTATCAATTTAGCATGAAAAATCAATAACTAACGTGCCATAATCATAGCTTACATGTCAATTTAGCTGCAGTGTAATGCTAAGACAAGTAATTCAACTAATTTGGAATCAAATGAACAAAACCCTAAATTCAAATTGAACAAAAAAAAAAAAGCCTAGCTATTGAATTGAAAATTCAAACAAGAATCCATACCCGAGTGTACCGACCGGTCGGATCTTTCTCTGCGAACTCACCACCACGATCTTCACTTAAAGAACCGAAATCCATATCCACAGAAACGACACCCAAAAATTAACAAAAAAAAAAATTGACTTTTCACGCACACACACACACACAAAGAAACTATCAAAGAAGCTTAATTGGATTCGAAGAAAAAGAAGAATTGAAGAGAAGAAACAGGTTTTCAGAGAAAGCTTCACAAGCAATCGAATAGGAATCGAATGGAGAGCGGAATCGGAATCGGAATCCGAATATGCAAAACATTTCCGATTCCTCTCGTGATTCCAATTCCTCGCGATTTCGAATCGGTTTCGTCATCATACAAGACCTAAATCCACCCATATTGATATTACACACATATTTTGTGCTTCAATTATCTCACTTGATTAGAGTATGAAGAAACCCTACTGTTTTCGAAGAAGAGAAACCATAATTACAAATTGAGAAAAAATTTATCGACAGAGGGGCACGTGATTTACACTTACGATAAAAGGGGCGTGGGATCAAGCTGTCTGAATTCACGGGGATTTTTAATTTTGATTTGGACAAACCTGAAATTAGCCTCCTAACTATATACATTTTCTTTATTGAGTCTCTAACAACTAATTTTATCAATTGAGTCCTCCATCTGTTTACTTTTATTCGATCATAGTGTTACATAGTACACATACACATGCAATTCAAGCGCTTTCTAACTGAACATAATTCTCCTAATCCTTCAGCTCCAACTTGTACACGAGGAGGGGCGGATAAGGCTGTTGGCAATTGAGATGGTTTGAAAACAAGCGAATAACAAGTGCAGTATTTGATATTGTTTTCAATTATTCTAACAAAAGGATCTGATTGAGGATTGGTAGATAGATGGAGAATGCAATTAATACAATAAGTAGTTTAGGTACCTAATCGAAAAAAATATATAGTTGAGGGACTAATGGGCTTTGATCTTTTGATTTTATTGTTTATTTAAAAAAGGAAAAGGTTTTTTTTTTTTTTTTTTTTGCCCCTTCACGAGATAGAGAAGGATGGAGTTAAGGATAAAGCTTAAAGAGGACTTGTTGTTCTCTTTCCGGAGTTCTTGCGTATTAGTTGGATTAGGAGTCTTGGTTAAAGTAAAATAAATTAAAAGTCATATGAACGTTATAATCAATCCCTTGATGATGTTGTATATCTTAAATTACTAAGAAGAAAATTAATAAGACTTGGCACGTCTCTTGATTCAAAAGTCTCATTTGCATTCCATCAGAATTATTCATAAGAAAAAGTCTCCGTTCGGCAAATAGAAAAGAAACCGGTCAATACTCGGAGGGGTTTTTCTACTATTTATTTTCTGTCTTTTATCACATTTTTTTTATTCTTTTTCCTCTTAAATTTTTCATTTTATTTTTTATTTTTATTGTAATCATATCTCTTTGTTAGTGTTTTTAACTAACGATATTAAATCGTATCATTAACCCCATAGGATTGTGACAAATGTCAATTTTTTTTGTCATAATCTCGTTTTTTATTTTTTAAATAAATAAATTTTAAAAAATAAAAAAAACTATATAAAAAATAAAGATATATTCTACTGTTATCTCTAAAAATTGGAAAACAAAAAAAAATGAAGATAAAAATATATTTTTATTCAAAATATTCTTTATGAATTATAAAAAAGACAAAAAAAAGATTAAAAAAAAAACTCTGCAACCATTAACTCAATTAGTAATCCATAAATCACAGTCCATTCTTACAATCAATAAAATCGGCAAGCTAGGAAAGTGTAGGTGCTATTTCAATTCGTTTGCAATCCCTAACCATCGGGAAGGAACGGCCAAGTGTTTGAATTTTGTTTGTAATTGACAAGAAAAGATAAAAAATTTTATAATACACAAAGAATGATTAATAATATATATATATAATAGTTATTTCATAAATTCATTTTAAAGAGAGAGAGATAAAAAAAAAGAGAAAATTAAAAAAAAATTGAATGGACGTGAAAATTTTTTTGTATCATTTTTAGTAAATCAGAATGTAATTTAATGTATATCTCTCTTTTTAAAGTAAATTCATAAAATAAATATTATATATATCATTAGTTATTCCTTATGTATTATAAAATTTTTTGATAAAGAAAAATGAGAATTTAATATTACAAATTTTCTCCCAAAAGGAACCGGGTGGATTTCCTCCGGTTTTCTAAGTCACTGCTGCTCAAGAAAACGAAAAAGGAAAATCTCTATCCAGCTTCGCGAGAGGAAAGAGGACCCAAATACCACATTGCAGAATTCTAATAATTCTTATGCAAAGAACTTGCGGCAATTGCTAGATTTCGGCGCTGTTTATTGGATTTCAGAGGAGAGGAGGAGAAGAACGTGATCATTACCAAGAGAGAGAAAATTCCCATGAGGACTTCTTGTATTAATTCCATCGACTCTATCAGTCGCCTGCCTGTAGATATTCTTCTCAACATTCTTTCAGCCTTTCTTCACTTACTATTAAAGAAGCAGCTAGAACTGGCACTCCAAGAAAAATCGTGTTTTTTTTTTTTTTTTTTTTTTAAAAAAAAAAAAGGAAGCAATCCACCTTCTTGAAAAGTAAAGCTGTGTTGTGCTTAAATATTTGGCATATATTTGCAACAAAAACGAAATTATGTTCAACCTTTTTTATGAAACAACTGTCTTACCAAGAAAAAAGGAGACAATAGAGGCGCAATTAAAAGCTTGACAGTAACTAACAGTTCGTGGAAAAGCAACGGAAGAATAAATAAACAGAAGCCAAACTGTAAGGTCAGGAACACCAGCATTTACCTGCTAAGGAGTCAACCACGTGATTGGCTTCTATCAGGACGTGAACAAAATTGACTTCAGGATACCTTCCCCTTAATTGATCTATAACATTCAATGGAGGATTATGCTTCCATAATCAAGAGCATTGAGCACTTTTGAGCATGCTCCATTTAGAATCGAAACCAGTTGGTGAAACAAGTTTCCTCAGGTAATACAGCATGCACAAGTCTTACATTCTATCAAGTATCAACAGCACATGACAACACACTTGAGTGAAATTGGTAATCAACAAAACTCAATCCACTCATTGCAATCAATAACCGTGAGCTAGAATTTTTTGGATTGGTATATGTGCAAAATCAATATCATTATTTCAATCCTACTTTCCAACTTGACTCCATTTGTTTGATTGAAACTTGCAGTTGAAGGAAAATGGAACATCACATAGAGACCAAGGTAGCTATCTTGTCTGACTATCATTGCTAATCAAGTTGAATTTGTAAAGAGGAACACAACAAAGTATCCTACTTGAGGGTCCTGCCTAGGACTGCTCCTGATAAAACTACTTGGCATTACGTTACTCTAGTTCAGCTCCACAAAAAGGCTGGCTTGAGGGTGCAAACCTGCTTCTTTCAGAGATAGAGAAAGCTTATCTGTACCATAGACAACTCGGGGAAAGTTTGAGACAAGACTGTAATTCTCCACATCCAAGCAACCCAAAGAATCAACATAATCATAAAGAGACTGGATAGCGGCTGTGCTGTGGAACCTCCTCTCTTTGCGTTCTCCAGTTGGGAATCGAACCAAAACCTGATTAATGAAGGTACATTTGAAGTTATGGATTAGAGCCAAAAGATTTACATGCCATCTACCATAATTATGAGGGCTACGACATAAGAAGTCAGGTAGATTGAAAGCTAAATGGCATATGCCACATCAAAAAAAAACTCATGAAACCAAGAACAGGCCAGAATAAGTACTAATGCTTGCAATAAAGAAAAATAAGCAATCATCATGAAATCCTAAACATTGAAAAAAGCAATAAATATAACACAGAGAGACTTTACTTGTGTGACATTAGGTCCTTTTTCAGGTTCAGCGCCAAGTGAGATGGCTTTCTCCTGCCGCATTCTTACCAGAGCAGCCTCTTTTTCTGCAGCCTCACGCGCAGCTCTCTCCTGAGCCTCTTCTTCCTCCTTGCGCTTCCTCTCTGCCTCAGCAGCCTCCCTTTCCAGACGTTCTTGTTCTTCTCTCAGTTGTTGTTCTCTAGCCTAATGCATAACAGAATATAAGTACAAAAGCAAATAGAAAATCATTATCACCACGCAAAAATAAAAGACCATCACATCTGACCAACAGTAACAAAACAATATAAACTTAATGCCCAAAAAAGAAAAAAAAAACTTACTTGATCAGCTTCAAGTGCTGCTCTGTATGCAGCATCTTGCTCCTCCCTCAAGCGCATGTTGGTTGTTCTCTCTTCTGCTTCAAGTCTTGCTGCAACAAGAACCGGAGCACTTTCTTCAAGAACTCTCTGTAGTATCACAAGCATTTCTTCAGGAGATTTTGGACCCTCAACCTATAGACCAAGAGAAAAAATGCAGCACAATTGTCATCATAAAGCTACTAGGTAACAACACAATTAAACAGAATAGGTCTTCTTAAGACCCAGAAGCCTACAAACTAAAATCCAGCCAACTTATGAATTGGGTTATACCTAAATATTCACTAAATGTTTCACCAGTTGACACAGATGACAAACAAGATTCATTAAAAGCTCTGCCCCAAAAACAGAGTAATTCTGTGGAAAAATTGAGCCAGTTGTAACAGAAAAGAAACAAGGTAAAAGCATCTCCAATTCTCTCTTTATATTAAGATTTTTTTTTATAATAAAGAGGTTTTGCCCAAATTCCATCTCCAATGCTCTCTTTATCACAATCTCTATCTTTAAAATTGAGATACATAGTGTCTTTGGCTCTCTAATACTAGAGAGTCCAAATGACTCTTTATCTTATATTTCATTAATGAAAAATTACCATTTCCTATGCCACTTAACCTCTTCACCAATAATCTCTCGGGATTTTATGGATTTTGTCAAAATAAAAAATTAAAGTAGAGAGTACCATTGAAGAGGACATTGATCTTCAATCTATACAAGTAATGGTGTTCTCTATTTACATTAAAAATGCTAGCTAAAAGTAGAGAGCACCATTGGAAATACTCTAACATTCATATATAAAAGGGTAGGATAAATCCATGCGATTGCAAAATATGCTGGGAAAGCTCAATACCAGAGGTAGAGAGTACATTAATTGCACTCATCGGAAAAGAGAACATTTATGAAAAGATGCACACAGACCCTACCATCACAATGAAATTACAAAATGAAATCTACAACTAGGACAGCAAACAAGAAAGTATGACACTGTAAAGCCAATAAAAATAAGTTCCCAACCATGCCAAAGATATAAATCAACCCTATTGCATGATATCAAAGTTCAAACGCAGTAACCATATCTAGAGGGAAAAAATCACATCTCCAACGGAGAAATGCTAAATTCAATCACCTTTAACACTTTCTAGTGTAAAGTTGAAACGAATGTACTATCTACAAAAACAGGCTTTTCTTAGCGCGGAAACTAAAATGAATTTTTAAACATCAACAAAATCCCATGTAAACAATACATAAAATGCTCAGAATCCCTCCAACACACAACGCTATCTGCTTGACACAGTGCATTTGCCTAAAATATCTAACCCTGCAAATCTAAGTTTCATCATTCAACAATCAATTGAACCACAATCAGTCACAATAAAAGTTCATATAACTCACCAAAATCATTCAACATCACGAATTAAATCACCACACAAATTAAAATGAAAAAGAATACCTGCTGAAGCAACGCAATCCTCTGATTCGTAGCAGGCATAACAACAGCGCAAAAGGGAAACCTCGAAGCCTTCAAACTGTTACTCATCTTAAACCCTTCACTCCCTCTAATACTCCCACCCCAAGCAACAAAGTTCTCATTAACAAACGCGCTAAAAACCTCCGAACACAACGTCCCCTCACAAAATGACGGGGTATCAGGATGATCCGGCGAGTGCAAATACACAAACAACAACTTAAAACTATTTCTCGACCTCGTCAACGCATCCATAAACCCTTCACCAACAAAGTTTGGCCTGCTAGAAGAACCAGAACGACCATAATCCCTCTCAAATTGAGCAGCAAACTCCATCGCTTCTCTCGACGCTGGAGAAACAGTTACCAATTGGGCCGAGGAATCCCCACCCCGGCTCGAATTCGATCCCAATCCGATGAACCCTAACGAATACGACAAAATACCTCCAGCGGCCCATAATCCAAACCCGACAGCACCCGAAATTATCCCTAAACTACCAGAAATGACTGAAATTGGTAAAGTAATTATTTTCCAGGCCAAACCAGGAGGAGGAGGAGGAGCCGCGGGAGCGATGGCGGAGGAACCAGAGCGGTTAGTGGTCGTATTTGAGGGGTCCACGGGGGTGGTTGTGGTGTCGGTGGCAGTAGAGGTGGAAGAAAAGGGATGGTTATTGTGATTATCGGTGTGATTAAAGGTGAAAGAGGAGATGGCAAGTTCGAGGTCCCAATTATGGGCTTGGAGGATTTCGGTGCATAAATCTGGATCTTCAAGGCCTGTAATTGCTTGAAAATACGCTAATTTATCTGCAACATCAACCATTATTGAATTATTGTAACTCTCTTCTCTCTAACTTGTGATTTTAGGGCTTTTTGATGGAAGTTTTAATTGATTTGATTTTATTGGGTGAGAAAATGGAACTGGAAGGAGGAATGATTGTTTTGATTTGGAGGTTTATGGTGATGAGTGATGACAGAGGAGAAAGATTTGTGCGAATTTGATGTCCAATTATTCATATAGTTTTTGCCTTTTTGGAATATTATTACCATTATGGACGTGGTTATATTAAAAACTACAAGAATGCCATAATTGTTATTCTTCTCCAAAATAAATACTATTATTTGTTAAAAAATAATGAATTTAAATGTAAATATTTATATACATTTCTTATCTTCACTACTCATGATTTTTAATATAATTCAATTCATCATTTAATATAAATAATTAAAATGATAATGCAATTGATCCAATAATTTATGTAATTTTAATTATTCATAACCCCTTCCAATTCTCTTCTTAATTTTAAAGCTTATAAATAGGTATAATTATTCATTAATTTATGCACAAATATTTTTATAAAGATTAAGAGAACTATTTAGAGTTGTTATTTCTTATATTCTTTTTATTTCATAGTGAAATCATTTTTCTATCTTCTTTTCTCTTATCTTTTTTACCACATCGTAACAATTTTTTTATGATTATTATTATATTTTTAATACGTTATCAGCACGAGTGTTTTACTAAAATATTCAAATTATCTAAACTATTAAGAGGTATATATCTAATTTATCTTTTATTTTAAATCTAATGATACATATAGTATACGGTTTGAAAAACTTGAATGATCTAATATATATTCTAATGGACTAATATATGTTGTTTGAAAAAATTGAATTTTAATATTATATTTATTCTTATTTTTTAACGTTATCATTATATCTTATATTATAGAATTTTTGTCATGTCAAGGGCGTCAAACCTTACAAAACTTGATTTGTGGCCCTTGACATTTTGGGCAAGAATTATTTATCATGAGTGTTTTATGTTGGATAAATTTAAATGCGATCTTGGATAAATAATCATGGACATATTAATCAAGAATCCTTGCAAAACCGTGCTGAGGCAATGATCTTTCTTCACCACCATCTCCATGATTATTTGAAAACCGAATATTTAACGAGTAAAAAATCCACTTGAACCGTGAAAAAATTTAGAGAAAAGGTACAACTATCAAAAGATGGTAATTTTTTTAAAAGTTCGTTATGTTTAGATGCACTTAAGATTACAAGATTTTAAAGCAACAAGCTAGTATAATTTTACAGCATTTAGAATTAATTCCCAACTAAAATTCTATGAAAAAAATATTACTAATTCAAATATGTTAGAAAAATTGTTCTCCACTTTTCATACCTCGAATATGATCCTACGACAAGAATATCGAGAAAAAGTTTTTAGAAATCCTCTAAATTGATTTCATGCTTGCTTGTGGCTAAAAATAATAATAATCTATTGAAAAAAAATCATGAATCTCGCCCGACTAGGACTACTCCATTCCCCGAAGTGAATATGACATTTTATAATAATTTTAGGCATAGAAGAAAACGTGATCGTGCCCATAAACGTGGACGTGGTCAAAATAATTATCGATATAATTATGGTGATCATAATAATACACATCACTATCGAAATGGATAAATTATGAAAAAAAAAAACAAGAAAAGAATAAAAGTAGATCAAATCAGCATTTCAAAAATAAATGTTATAGATATAATATAAAGGGACATTGGTCACGTATCTATCATACTCTAAAGCACATCGTTGAGATTTATCAAGCCTTCATTTAAAAAGAAAGAAATTAATACAGAGGAAAATTTTATATATCAAAATAATGATTGTGACAATGTTCCTCTCGATGGTTTCAACGATTTGGCACATTTAGATGTTACTCGGTTTTTGAAAAAATTATGAAAGAAAAGATCATTAAATTAATGATAATCGTTAAAATTAATATCTTATTAGCTTTTTTATTGATAAATAAAGAAGTTTTATGTTTTCTTATAATTTCTAATGCATCGTGATAGTTACAATATATATATATATATATATATATATATATATATATATATATATATATATATATATATGTATGTATGTTTTATTTGTTTTATATTTATGAAGAATATATGGATACTACAAAGTTCACAATTGGTTTGAACATCATAGATGAAAATTTATGTCTTGTAGATAGTGCAATAATGCATATTATACTTAAAAATAAAATGTATTTCTCTAATTTAATGATGAGCAAGGCTAATGTTAACACTATATCCGGTAATGTCAATTTAATTAAAGGCTCTAAAAGAGAAAATATATTATTACCTAGTGGGACAAATTTGATTATAAATGATGCATTATTCTCTCATAAGTTTCATAGAAATCTATTAAGTCTTAAATATATCCGTCTAAATGGATATCATATCGAGACAACAAATAGTGAGAATATTGAATACTTATATATTACAAAAAATACATGGGATTGAAAATATGTATTAGAAAAGTTACTCGCTTTCTCTTTTGGCATTTATTACATAAATATTTGAATGATTGAAACAAATGTTATAGTAAACCAAAAGTCTACTAATTCTTTTATTTTGTGGCATTATCGGTTGGGCCATCCTATATTCATTATGATATGAAAAATTATTGAAAATTCATATGAGTATCCATTAAAGAACTAGAAGATTCTTCAATGTAATGAATTTTCATGTCCTATGTGTTCTGAAGGAAAAATTATTATCAAGTCATCACCAAATTAATAAAATTAGGATTGACTCTCTAACATTTTTAAAATACATTCAAGGTGATATATTTGGACCAATTTCATCCATCATGTGAACCATTTAGATATTTTAAGATGATCACATTTATGCTTATTATTAACTTGAAAGTCGATGTTTTTGAGGTTGTTTGCTCAAATAAGTCAATCACAATCACAAATCTAGATTATAACATTAAAACAATTCACCTTGACAATGCTAGTGAACTAAAATGAACTAAAATGGGTTCTTAGAGGAGATTGAGAATATATGTTGATATAAATCCCTTTTTTATAATTAAATATCTTAAACCACTAATAGGAGTTATTTTTATGGCTTGATTTGTCGATCGTTGTTTTGATGAAATAGTTTTTCTAACATTAACAGGAGAAAAGAAATAGAATAAAGTTAGAAATGTTGAAAAAAATTACGTGAAATATTTCATCTTTATATCATCTTGATCTTCGCACAAAATAATGTGAACTTGAAAGTTAGAGGATAATTCATTTACAAAGTCTTGCAAATCAACTACTAGAAGCATTCTCTCGATCCAAAAAGAATAACTAAATCTCATATTCTTGCCGAGAATGCTCTTATTAGAATCAATATCCCGATAGGATAGCTTATTAATGTTATAACAAATGAATTTAAAGCACGTTTCAAACGTGAAAGACCGATCGATTCTAAAGATAAAAATCTCAAAATGAAAATATAAAAATACGGATAAAACGATCCAAGATACTTTTAATAACGGACTTTCGAAGAAGTCCAATGCTTAAGGAAAATTAAAAATTTTCGATAACTTATGTTAATATAAGGAGAGAATGAGACTAAAAATGAATATTTATTGATAATATTTTTACATATAATATTGTAATTGATATTTTGAATAAGGATCATCAACTTAAATTTATTGAAGAATGCCGACATAGAGATGATTGACCGAAATAGAAAGATGCAATTCGGACATAATTAAATTATCTCACGAAACGAGTAGTTTTTGGATCCATTATCAAAACACTTGAAGATGTTAAGCCGAGTAGGATATAAATAAGTATATGTGCAAAAGCAAAATGAAGAAAATGAAATTATGAAATATAAAGCAAGACTCGTAGTATGAAAGTTTTCACAAAGACTCGACATTGATTATGAGGAGACATATTTTTCTATAATTGATGTAATTATATTTCGTTATCATATTAGCTTGAAAACACATGAAAAGTTCATATGCATTTAATGGATGTGATCATAGCCTATTTATATGTTTTACTTGATAATGATATCTATATAAAAATTTCAAAAGGATCGAAAACGCCTAAAGCATATAAAATATATTTTCAAACGATGTATTCAATTAAATTACAAGGATTTCTATATGTATTGAAACTAGGGATGGCAATTTATCCCGCTCCGATGGGGCCCCGCCCCTCCCCATTTTGCCTCGATCAACGCAAGGATTCCCTACGTTGATCGAGGAACGAGGTGAGGCACCCCATGAACGGGGACGAGGATGGGGCGGGGATAGTATTTGCCCGCCTGACCACGTTTTCCTCATTTCATGATTTTCATCCCTAAAATTATAATTATACCCTATATAAAATCTATAACTAGTGACTTTTAGGATTTATTTTTTTATATAAGCTCTCCTTTTTTGCCATAGTTTGGAGTTTGGTATTAAAATAGGATAAAACGAGATGAAAAAAATTGATAATTTTTTTACCTTGTTTGCCCCACCGAGTGTCCCACAGGGATCCCCGTCCCCGTTTAAGATAAGGATGGTATAATAAATTTTATCCTGTTTGGGGCATAGGATGGGGATGAGCTAAAATTTTTAAGAGTAGGACGAGGACGGGATGGCGATCCCGGCCCTCACCCCTCCCTATTGCCATCCTTAATTGAAACAATTTGGGTACATGTGGTATGATTATCTTAATGAGTATTTGTTAAAACAAAGTTATAAAAATAGCCTCATTTGTCTATATGTCTTTATAAAAAAAATCTAAAAAAAGGTTTGTGATAATTATTGTATATGTTGATAATTTAAGTATATTTAAAACTCCTTAAGAGATTTTAAGTACCATAAGTTATTTAAAAAGAGAATTTGACATGAAAGATCTTGAAAAATAAAAAATTTATCTCGACCTGCAGTTCGAACACTTAGAAGATAAAATTATTATTCATTAGTCAATATATATAGAAAAAATACTACAATAATTCTACATGGATAAAGCTCATCCATTGACTAGTGCAACGGTAGTTTGTTCACTTGATGTCCAAAAATATCATTTTTTGGTCTTGAGAAGATAGCAAAGAATTTTTTGATCATGAAATACCATTTTTTAGTGCAATTGGTGCATTAATGTATTTTACTAATAATACCTTATCTTATGTGGCATTTTCTATAAATTTATTAGCAAGATATAATTATGTTTTAGCATGAAGATATTGGAATAAAATTAAACATATAATACGTTATCTCTAAAAAAACCAATTGACATGGACTTATTTTACTCTAATAAATCAAAAATAGGATTAATTGGTTATGAAATGCATTTTATTTATCCGATTCACATAAAGCTCGATCATAAACCGATTATGTATTTACATATGGTGATACAACTATATCATGGTGTTCTATAAAATAAACTATAGCTGCCACATCTTCAAACCATGTAGAAATATTAACAATTCATGAGTCAAATCGAGAATGTGTTTAGTTAAGATCAACGACCCATCATATTCGAGAGACATGTGGTTTATCCATTAGTAAGAAGGTTCTAACAATGTTATATAAAGATAATACTACTTGTACAACTCAATTAAAAGAAAAATACATCAAAAGTGACAAAACAAAACATATATCATCAAAATTATTTTTCACACATAATTTTCAACGAAATGATGATATTAATGTTCAATAAATTAGATTAAGTGACTATCTAATAGATTTGTTCACTAGGGTATTATTTATCATAATTTTTGAAAAGATAATTCATAAGATTGAAATGTGTCATCTTAGAGATCTTAAATATTGTTTTCAACATAGGGAGCTCAATATGGAGATTAATGTGTACAAGAAATATCGCACTTTTTTTTCTTTTACTCGGATTTTTTTATTGGGTTTTTTTCTAATAAGATTTTAAAGAGACATGTTCCTTGTACAATAGACATTCAAGAAGGAGTGTTATAAAATAATGAATGTCCGTATGAATGTTCATATATATTTCATATTCTTACTACTCATAATTCTTAATGTGATTCAATATGAAAAACTAAAAAAATGATACAATCGATTCAACAATTTATGTACTTTTAACTCGTTTGTAATCCCTTCTAATTCTTTTCCTAATTTTGAAATCTATAAATAGGTTTAATTGTTTATTAGTTTGTGTACAAATATTCTGTGAAGATTGAGAGAATTATCTCGAAGTTGTTATTTTTTGTATTTTCTTTATTTCATAGTGAAATTATTTTTCTATCATCTTTTCTCCTATCCTTTTTACCATTATTGTAACAATCCTTTGCAATTATTATTATATTTTCAGCATTATCAATGCTTTTTTTTCTTTTTCTTGTTGTGTTGAGTAAATTATAAATCAATTTCTTTTTTTTTTGAAAAGCAAATTAATTAATCCTTCTTGTTTAAAAAACTAATTATTTATTTATTATATTTTAATCAACCACAAATTAATTAGAAGACAATTTGAAAACAAAAATCATTAATCTAATGAAAACCGATGAAAGAGTTAAGTTATTGACGAAATTAAAATATACATAACTAAATGATTAGTTTCTACAAAAAAAAAATAATAATAAGGTACTAATTAATTTGTTTCTCTAAACTAGAATGTCTAATTTATAATTTATTCATGTTATGTCTTGCAATAGCCATCCAATTCCGCTCCCAAATTCATGCTTTAAAAAAACAAAAGTATATGATAATCATCTTCTTTCGTATTCAAGAATAAAATGATAATTTGAGAAGTATTTTTCTGAGTAGATTGTTCTTTTTTTTTTCTTTTTCAAAGAATAACACAGCCAAAATTTACAAGGGAATTAATATGTGCGCAATTTTATTTTATTTTATTTATTGGATCAATTTGAGCATACTTGAACAAATAAATATTATCAGGCCATATGTATTGATCTAGTTGCTTTTTTTTTTAAAAAAAAACAGAAACAGACCCAATTTTTTATTTTATAAAAAGTAGTAGATACGTTTCCTGTCCAATAAAATGCAAAATAACTGATAAGACTGTAGAACTCACTACATTTTTTGCACACATTATGCTATGAGTCAGAAAAAATATATAAAATTATTTTATTTTGATGTTACATATTATATTATATTATGCATTAAATAAAATATATTAAATTTTATATTTAACTGATTATTTTTTTTTATATTTTTTATCAAAAAATTATTTAACAATATAAATAATTTTAGCTAAAAATTTATTTTGTAAATTTTGTAAATATTTTTTTGCTTTAAAATTTTTGAGATGGGATAATTAATTATTATGCAACAGCCTTGAAATCTTACCAAGTTTCAAGGAATTATGGGATGGGACTTCTTGGTTTTCTGTCACTGTAATTGACATGTCTGTAGGTCCCACAGCATGGGGTGCCCTCGAACCAAGATAACTTCAAAGGGCGCATAAAGTGGTCCAACCAACTCAGTGTCGCATGGATTAGTTGGCTTGAATACAGGAATCACTGCAAAATCCGAAGTAATATCTAGAACATGAAGTGGCGAAAATACGTTAATAACCTCCAAGTTGGAACAAAAAAACAAGGACCTGCTCTCCATGAATTGGTTACCAATTGCCATCCAGCCAGAAAACAGTAATTGACTTTTACGGCCAGGTCTACCCGAGAGATTAAGGGTTCGAAACGTACAACTACCGTTGAATCATTTCAATTCCTCGATCAAAAACCTTAACCTTGGTTTTAAATATACAAGGGTTTTTACATGTCAAGGTCATACAACAATCATGTACTCACTACAATTCCTCGATCAAAACCTTTCCCCTGAATTCCGTTTTATTTGTTGCTGCTGGAGCATTTTTACCTCCTCTATCCATGGCTGAACTTTTTTCTGCCCCTACGATGGCAGCTAATGAGGACCAGGCTTCCCCTGGCTGCTCATGCACCCAGCACATTATGAAATAGACCTTCCGCTCGGCAAGCTTCAGCTTACTTCGGATGTCTGACTTTGAGTTTCTCGTTTTCTCAGCTTTCAGCTCCTCCTCTCCGGCCCGAAGCATCTTCTGTAGATCATAGAGCAAGCAGATTAAAGCAGGGCCACCAAGTGAAAGTAAATGTTGCACATCATCGACGAGGCCCATTCCAAATTGCAATCCACCCATGTGTTTATACTCCGGAGAGCAAGTTCTCTCCAAACAATATGACAGAGCTTCCAGCACAGTTTCTGGCTGCCCAGCTTGACCTAAGACAGAGGAGACACTCAATACCACGGTTGCTGATCCTATGGCATCTGATTGCCAATCTCCATTGTAGAGGCGTAGTGTGAAGCAGTAGCTATATATAATGTCAACCAAGTGAATGGCTACGAAGGGTGATGGGTCTTTAGAAATAAGCTTCCTGAGAGGAGGTAATGGGTTATCAGGGCCAGGAGGAATCTCACTAGGTTGGCCTCCTGCACCATCATTCTGATGAGATGACGATGCTTCCTCTTTTACAAGTGGCTGGACAAGTCTGGTTCCTTCCTTGCTAAGAGAAATAGTTCTAGCAGAAGACTTCAACCACCACGGATCCCATGGTTCGATCAACTTGCTGAGTTCTCCAGATGCCACAGCTCTTTGGAAACATTTCTTCTCTTCTACCGATAAATCATCAAAATTGATTGGACCACCTGCGATGAAGAACAATATATGAATTCCAACAGTTTACTGGGAGAAGGCATCACAACACACCAGTTAACTAATACCCTAACTACAAACTAATGAGTGAGACTATCGGTTTAAATGGAAATGAAATTATCAGAAGTACTGAATGACAGGCAAAGAAGAATCAATCATAAGCCATAACTGGGAAAAAAAAAAAAAACTAATAAGCGAGACAAATCAGTTTAAATGGCAATATCAGTACTGAATGACAGGTAAAGAAGAATCAATTATAAGCCATGATTCCTTTTTTTTTTTTTTAAAAAAAAACACAACCATACCAGACAACACCTTCTGAATAGTCTCCTCAGAAAGAACAGAACCTGTCATCAAATAAAATAAGAGAAAAATCAGGTAAAAGCCCTTTCATTGCAATTGGTAAGTTAGGTAATTATAACATGTCAAAAAACATAGCACTAACTATGGACAAACCTATACTCAAGAGTTTATAGTATTTTACTGAAACATAAGCTCATGACACACCGAGAAAATTCGTTTTAGAAGACAGTTTCTACACTAGAATGAAAAAAGAAAAAAGAAAAGGAAAAGGAAACCTTGTTTTGTATACCCTCTTCAATCAAACAAGAAAAACGTAGGGAGAAAAAAACTAAAAAAATTTGCCATTTTAACAGTAGAATGCCACAAAATAACAATAGCAACAACCCAAAGTAAACAGGTTTCCTTAAATTTCAATCCACTAACCTAAAGTAACATTGCAAATTTAGATGAAAATATGAACAAAGCTAGAATTATACCTATATCATCATTCTAAAACTTCAACAAATTATGTAAAGATGCCGGTTTACCCATCCCGTTCCTTCGCTAATCATATGATCAAAAATTGACCTCATTCACCAATCAATTTCTACAATTCCAAAACTAAAGCTAGCGTTACAACAAACCGAAATTGTCAATTTTTTAAATGTTCTCCACCAACACAATTCTCATAAAAATTTGCTAAAAAGGAAAAAGAAATAAGCAAATTTTCTCAGCATAAATCATCATAATTACTCGAAATTTACCATCCATATGATCATCATCTTCATCATCGTCCATGCCATTATCCATTTCTTCTTGCTCCTCAGAATGGAACCGTTTCAAAATATCGAGCATTTTCCGCTTCGTTTCATCATCCGCTTCCATCTGCTTCATCTCTTCCATCACATTTTCTCTCATAAACGACTCTGTGCATCTCTCACTATGCGACTGCACACACCGTAACAAAACCAAAATTTTTAAAAATAAATAAATAACTAAATTATCACGAAATCAATCATAAAAAAGAAAGAAAAAAACAGAAACTCGCTTTTGTTATTTACCTTATAGCAGGGAAGAGAACAGTAGCGAGAATTGCATCGAGGACACGTGTAATGTGAAAATTGCTTCTGGCAACTGCACAACTAGAAATTAAGTTAGCTTGTGAACAACTCAATGACAGTAATCGAAGAAGAAATTAAAGAGATTAAGGACGTACACGTGGCAGATGAAGCGGGAAGGAGGATCGAGAGGGGAAGGATTTGAAGGTTTCTCTGAGGTCAGAATCGTGTCCGCCATTTTTAATTATTATTATTATCACTAAGACAAAATCAAAATGAAATTGAGAGAGGGAGATGGAGAGGTTGACAGTGAGGAGAGATGGTCGTTTTTAATGGCGGTTTCGAAAACCCCAGAAAAGTCTAGGATTTGGGGGTTTTTCGTAAGAGAATCTCTCTCTCTGGGCTTAATTCGAAACTGTTTAGAAATGGATCAGAGCCCATTTATAACTGGGCCAGTATGAGGCTGAAGTTGGCCCTTGAAGGCACATTCTTCTGCCTTCAGTATATTTTCCATAAATATGTACAAAAAATCCTGCTTGCATCCATTTAGGAGCGAAGCTTAGAATAGATTCAGATACGAGGCACGGGAGAGGCTGCTGTTTAAGAAGTTGAATCTATAGTTAGTGAGGTGAAGAAGATAAGTGAGATAAAGGAGACTTTAACCACTACACGAAAACCCCATGTTTGCTTGTAGGTTCAGTGGATACTTAATTACTTATGATCCATTAATGGTTGCTATGGCTTTGTAATGCTGCATCATTTATATTTGTGTTTCAAACAGGATAGGATTACGAATGAATACAACTTAGCAGATGAATGATCATTCAAATTTGCATGGTGGAGGCAGTAGTACTACCATCGGTAATGCAAAAATGAATCTACAAAGTAAGCATCATCAGCCTCATAACTATAATTAACAACCAGTCCTTTGAGCCGACTAACTTTTATTAAGTTTAAGTCCATTGCTATATCGATTTTTACAGTGAATCCAGCCTGTCTAAGTTTTTCCTTTTCCACTGAAAACGTGATACTAAAAACTAATATGGAAACTCAGACCCTTTCAAGAGCCGGTCTAAGTGTCTGATCATCGTTGAGTTGACATGGTGCAATTCTAGTAATATTGGGTTGATCTTGTTTGGCCTTGTCATGAACTTCAGCCTTGAATTCAGCTAAGTTAGCTAGTTCTTCCACCGTTTCAACAATGGCTTGGATCCTTGAAGATATTTCTATCAGTAAAGAGGCTAAAGTTACCGCCGGAATAACTTCCAGGAGATGGATTGTGGAGGTTGTTTCTTTTGTTTCCTTGCTCTCAGCAAGTAAAACTTCTGGTGGACTGAGCACGTTAGAAAGAGATTTTAATTCATTTTGGAGATCTTGTACCGTATTGCTCATTTCTTCAACCAAGAAATCTATGGAGGATGATTTTTTCATTGTCTTGATAGTTTTTGCTACCTCTTTTACGACACTGGAAGAGTTGGAGCTCACTTTCAGGCAAATATTGCTCAGATGCTTCTTTATGAGCTCAGGGGCCTGATTTCAGACATAGTAGTACAGGGGGAAATTTTCTGTCAGGTAAAAAATTATTGGGTTAAAATGTATCAAGGAAGCATTTAGGAAAATTTGTTACCTGATTTTCTGAAACGATGCAGCTATTAAGAGCCTCGATGCAGTAAGCACAGCTGCGCATTGATGCACCAACTTTAAGGTATTGTTGCCATGGATGTTTGAAGTTGAAGCGGCCATGCGCAGGCTCCCATCTAGCAAAATTGATCTGTATGGAAGACAGTGTTATTCAGAGCTTCAGTCAAATATTCTGAGAGATTTTATATTTGATCTATTTTTTTTTTTCACAAGTCTTGTCGCATACCAAGGATTCCTCCGTGCTCTTGGAACTGAGAACGCATTTATAACCAAGCAATTTCTTGTCAGGTTGCTTATTGCTGTCTTTAAGTTCACCATTATGATCGAAATACTCTTCTACACAACCTGAAATAAAGTTGAATAAATAAATTATTCATGTAACTGAAAATTTTTCACTTGAAGTTTTTGTATGGCATGTCACATACCATCTAAAGCATTGGCAAGTTTGTCCATGTTGCGGCTGATAAGATTATGCAGCTCCTGACCAGCCCAGATGGGGCAAATAAGCATGGTTACGAGAATGCATAAAGAAGTTCCGATGATAATCGTAGACATTCTTTGATGAGCCATGTTAAACAATTTATCCACTCGATAACCAGAGACAGTAACCAAGGAGAAAGTGAGGATAAAGATCAGGGCTCCATAGTCGAACCGAGCTTTTACCGAGGGAATAAATCTGGAGAAGGTTGCAGCAGAAGCTGAAGAGAAAGATGATTAATTAACACTTATTTAGCTAATCGTCTTTGTTTTTATTTCGTAAAATAACTTCCAAGAAAATGTTAGTTCAAATTATCTTTGATACACACCTAATAAGAAAACTGCAGCTCCAATGATCAGGGGCTCAAATTCCTGTCCTGACTGACTAGCCACCCAATGAACGCCAAAGGCAAGAAACCCAGCAAGAGTTGTTCCAAACACTCTATTCAAACTTTTGCTTATTGTTGCACCTGCAAAATAATCAGTTTAAGTCAAGGACTAATGTAAAATGGTTTAGCCTTTCAGGTCATCAGCTTAAGGAATATTGCAGATTTCATACAAAAAGAACTCGTTCATTGTTTTCCTTTAATGTTTGACCATCAAATAGTAGGGTGGACCAATGACCATGAATGATGACATATTACAGAACTTTAGACATTGATGATTCGATGTTTCAAGAAATTTGAAGTTCTTACCTACAGTATTTTCAAAGACAACCACAACTGTCATTATAGCCCACATAGCATTTCCACCCACACCTTCATACAAAGGTCTCATGAAGTAAAAGAGTGAGACAACAGCGAGTGCCGTTCCTACTTTTAGACAATGGATCACTTTCCTAGGGTCATCTACCCCTAAATCCCATGCTTTCTTTAAGAACTTCGACACTTTCAAAACCAAACCTGCTAACAGACCCTTTAGCCCCATCCAGATTCTGCTGACAAACCCTGCCTCTGGGACCAAACTCTTTGAAGAACCATCTCCCAAAGTTATTCTCCACTCCACTCCACTTGTTGCTTTCTCCTGATGAGCCATATTTTACGCTTTACAATGGTCACAACTATGTAATATGTGATGGGATAACCTGAAATGAGATGGACAAAATTGGTGATATTAGGGAAATCTGCTGTAGACTTGGAAATAAGCTAGTTGCCAGGCACCTTATTTCCATGCAATGGGAAGGTGATGCTTGGATGTTGAATGACTTGAAGTGTGTGTATATATATATATATAAAGGAGGCATTTGTTACTTTGCACTGAATTTGTTTATAAAAAACAAATTAAATAGGAAAAAAAAATTCCAATGACATGGCAATTCTAGACGATCATTTTTTTTTTTTTGGTAGGTGAAGTTGCGAGGACAACATCTCTCTCTCTTACATATGTTAAAGTTGTGAGGACAACCCCTCTCTCTCTTACATATGTTAAATGTAATGTAAAGAACTTAATAATTCTATTATTTGCAGAATCAGATCCTTAACCTCACCCTTGTTTTCTTCATTAAGCTATCCTAGCTTTCTTCATTAAGCCATTTCTGCTATGCAACGAGATTTAGGATTCTTTTGTGACCTAAACAAAATTTAGGATACTAGTTGACATTTTTGACCCAAAAATGGAAAGCTGAACGTCATCCTATGATGATTTCGATCATACTAGCCAATCGCCCGCGCTACGCTACTCGGTCTAGCAGAACAAAATCATTTTAAAATTTAATTTTTTAATTATAATTTCTTATTTAAATAATTTTTTCTAATTTTTTTTTATAATTTTTTATTTAAAAAGTAAATCATTCTTCTTTATGGATTGATTTTAACTAAAATATTAATCAAGAATTCAAAAAAGTTTAAAAATATATTTTTCACAATATTGTATTCCAAAAAATAAAGTTATAATTAATAGATATACTTTTATAAAAACTAACAATTGAAAAAAAAATTCTTATTTAATACCGATGAGAAGATTAATTTTTAAAATTATTCACGCAATACTCGTTGGTAGATAAATAAAATCATTTCAAAATTATATAATTTTTTAATTAATTATTACTATTTTTTTACGTTTTTCATAATATTTCTACTTGAAAAAACACAATTTATTTTTTTGATTTAGGGATTCCTAAATAAAAATTTATCATATATATAATTTAAACCTAAAATATTAATTAAGAATTTAAAAACAAATCCTTTAAAAATATATTATTTTATAAGAATATACCCATAAAAATTAATTAATGAAAAAATAAAATTTTATTCTTATTTAATGTTGATGAGATGATTATTTTTTTAAAGTATATACATTTGATCTATATATATTATATAATGGTCAGTTTGTGGAAAGAAAGTAATGAAAAAAAAAAGTAATGATTGATTTTTAAAAATTTTCACACCTAATTAAATAAAAAAAGAATATACATTGATGGAAAAAATCAAAGGAAAAAAAAAAGAAAAGGCATGTAGTACATTAGCTAGGGATTAAAATTTTTATTTTAAAATATCGGGGATCAAAATGAAATAATTTGAAAGTTACAAAAAAAAAAACTAAAAAAAAAACACCTAATTGTGAGTAGCACATTGTGAAGGTTTAAAAAAAAAGAAAAAAAGGGAGAGAATAGTACATTGTAAGGAGAAAAACATTGTTACCATAAAAACAAATACTTTAAAAATATATATTTTTTTATAAGAATATATCGAAAAAAATAAATTTACAATTAATGTATAGACTTGTATAAAAATTAACCAATGAAAAATTAAATTTTTATTCTTATTTAATGTTGATGAGAATATTTTTTAAAAACAAAATTATATACATTTGATCTATATATATTATATAATTATCAATTTATATGGAAAAAAAGTAACAATTGATTTTTAAAAATTTTAACACTCGATCAAATAAAAAAAGAACATAAATTGATGGAAAGATGTAAAGAAAAAACCAAAGAAAAAAAAGCATGTAGCGCATTAGCTAGGGATTCAAAGTTTTATCTTAAAATTTTAGGAATAAAAATAAAATAATTTGAAAATTATAAAAAAAAAACCTAAGAAAAAAAATAATAGTGAAAATTACAAAAAAAAAAAAAAAAAAAGAACAAAAATAGGAGTGGATGGTTCATTGTGAGGGGTGATTTTTAAGGTATATACATTTGATCTATATATATTATATAATCATCGACTTGTGTGGAAAAAAATAACGAGTTGATTTTTAAAAATTTTAACACTTAATTAAATAAAAAAAACATAAACTAATGAAAAATGCAAAAAGAAAAAACCAAAGGAAAAAAGAAAGAAAGAAAGAAAAGGCATGTGGTGCATCGACTAGGGATTAAAATTTTTATTTTAAAATTTTAGGAATCAAAACAAAATAATTTGAAAATTACAAAAAAAAAATGTAAGGAAAAAAAAAACCAAGAGTGAAATTAAAAAAAAAATCAAAACAAAATAATTTGAAAAAAACAACAACAACAACAACAACTAAGAATGATAATACAATGTACCCTAAGAGTGAATAGGAGTGTAAGGGTGTAAAAAAAAAAAAAACGAAGTGAATTGTAATTTGTGTGGGGTTGAACGGTGTTGGCATTGTTCAAACCCCCCATGCCTTTTAGTATATTACTAATAAACCACCAACTCTAATTGTTCCGGTTATGGTCCGGAGACAAAGATCGCGTCACAAGTCGGTGTATAAGGAAATCCTCTCTTGTTCCCTTGCTCGGTTCCTATCTTTTCCTAGAAAAACTTATTCTTACAATAAAAATTGAGATTTATTCTTAAGAGACCTCTAAACTATCCTTAGCCTTTTGAATATAATTCACTTGATATCTTATTCAATTTCCATCTCCTCATTATCTAATAGAAAAGTTTTAAAAATAGAATACAAACATAAAAATCTATTGCCTAATACGACTCTCTAACATATAGAAAGTCTAATTAAAACACAAAATAATTAGAACTAATATAAGCACAAAAGAATATTGCCTCATCCAACTTAGTGTATGGAAAGTCTAATTAAAACACAAAACAATTAGGACTCTCATATCCTAATTTCCTAATTAGCTGGTCCCGACTTATTCTTAACTAATAGTAATGAAAGTAACAATAAAATAAAATAGATAATAACAATAAAATAGATATTCTTTTATATTAATTTCCTTCCATATGCTTTTGTCTTCTATTGTATTATTTGCCCACAAAGACGTTTGCAACATTGCTCACCTTCCGGACACCGAGCTTGTCCTCAAACTCAAAATTAGGATGAGATTCATGTAAAGCCGTGACGAGCTCCCATGTAGCATTCTCATCCAATAGATTAACACCTCACGTATACCACGGTTCAATCGGGATCGAAGAGATCGACCAAAGGCAACACCTTTAATTTCTCATTAGAGTCATCTAGCATAAAAAAAAAAAAGATGTTTACATCAATGTCCAATAGATTAAGTGTCATCATAGTTGTAACACAATCCTTTTGCTCTTCTCTCTATCATCTCTACTCTATATAATTTTTTTAAGAAAGGGTTTAAGGTATTACTAAGTACTGGAAACCATGGATGTTCTACCTCCCATCGATTTTGATTCACAATTGACGAGTGAGTGGAAGAGCTAAACCTATTTTTTTGAGGGAAGTCTAGTTAGAAAGAGTGCAACTCACTCTAATTTCGCGAGTGAGTTGCCGCTTCATTTGAAAGACCAAGCTAGGTTTATAGTCGTAACAAAATTAGAGTCCGTTGCATTTTTGCATCCACCCTTATTCTTATAATGAACAAATTGATATGCTCGATAAGTCCTAACCGAAGTAGCTTTAGGTAGGAGTGTCTAGAATTGTTTCTAATACTCTTCTACCATCCCAACTTTCTTGAATTCTCGCCAATACTCCTAACGGTTTGCTATTCAAGGGAGGTCCAAACTAAAGTAGATAGTAAGGCTTGAATTTTCCCCTTCGAGCCTAAGTTCTTATTGGTCCACCCTAAAAAACCATAATTGAGCCTCATCTATCATGTGAAAAGTCACCAAACCCACCTTTTCCTCTTTCCTTGATCTTTGGTTAAAGAAGAATTGCTCACACCGATAGCCATCCTAATAGGTCATATACTCTATTGTATGATGAAAACTCTAGTTTAGAGTACCTAGGAACCATAGTGGTGCCTACATACCCTTTGTGATGTCCTATATAAGGTTTATTACTTGTTGGCTACTCCTTCCAGTACCCAATTTGAAATCATGGGACTTCGTTTGGGCTAGAGGCTACGGCTCCATCATGTGTTGCATACCTTGATACCGTCCTTCAACTCAAGTAACTCTTGACTAATCGGTTGATTGAATTCTATCATCTAATGATCTAGATCTTGCACTCCAATTGCCATTTATTCATTGTCATCACTTTATTTTTACCCCACAAAAATAACAAAAAAAAAAGAAAGGAAAGAGAAAAAAATAAAATACCCTAAACGAACTTAAGGGCGTGCTTAGGCCACGCACAAGGCCCAAATGCGCTAAGGCCTACTGGGTCGTCCAACTTAATTACCTTTAGAGTAGAAAATTTTACCCTAAAACGGACCTACGTAGCATTATAAATAAATCCTACTTTACCTATAATCATGGACACACTGCCACCTAGAGAATAAAAAACCCCAAGTAGCAAAAAAAGAAGACAAAACAACAACTATAAAGATCCGATTGTTGCTCGTCTCATGTATTCCATCGATCAACACGTGTCGGACATCCAAAATCTTCTAGAGAATACGGTTCTAGCATCATAAGAATCACCAAATTTTGATCTCTATGGACCTTACATGCCCCGCTTAAAGTCTCACTATTCTTGGTGAACTTTCATCCGTTTCGATCCTCGAGCTTATGATTTTGGTAATTACACCCATTCATTTCAATAATTTTTTTGGTTTAATTTTCAATCAAATTTTATGGATTGCATGATTATATTATTGATTTATATTCTATAATATTAATTATGTGACTAACATAAGATTGAGATGATTAATTGAATTAAAATTGTTTAATTTGGGCTTAATTGAAAGGATTTGA